ATACATTTAATGTTTACATGCGTGGAACACGCACAAATCAAGAAGAAAAAAAATTGACACACAGCCCATTGGAAAAATGGGCAATGATTACAAAAGAAACAAATCACATACTAGGAAACCTCAATAGTCAATAAATAGATGAAGAAATGTTCAACCTCACTGACAGAGAAATTCACATAAAACAACTGGATCCAGTGTTGTAAAAAAATCAGATTGGTAGAATAAGAAAAGTCTGACTCTAGAAAGTATTGAAGGTCATGTGAGGCAAATAAGAACCCTCACACACTGCTAATGGGTTTGTAAATTGGAGAACAATCTGGCAGTCTCTAGTTAAACTGAAAATGTGTATGCAGCCTAGCAATTCCCCATCTAGGTACATGCATAGAGAGTCTCACATATGTGCAGGGGGGTGGGGGCGGGTGGCACTGACACAAGGGTTTGTATTAGCATTGCCTGCAATACCAAAAAATTGGCAGCATCTTAAATGTTCACCAACAGGGGAATGGATAAACATGGCACAATCATATGCATGAATCTATGATATAAGAATTAAAATGCATGAACTGGATCTATATTTATCAACATAGAGAGAAAAATAAAAAGATACTGTAAAGAAAAATAAAAACATGTTGCAGAATCATATGTGCATTCTAGTACCACATATATACATACATTTGGAAAAAAGCATACAAAGCCATACGTAGGTAGTTTATGGGTCCAGGTGCAGTGAAAGTATAAAATCTAGATTTGAAAGTTACATACCAAATTCATGATAGTATTTGCCTTTGGGGAAAAGGGTGGAGAACTGTGGAGGTGTACAAAGGGGGGCTTCAATTTTATAAGAAATGTTGAATTATTAAAAATAGACCTGAAGCAAATATGTCACAGTGGTAACATTTATTAATTATATGAGAGTAACATAGGCACGTGTAATATTTTCTTTATATTTTTAATATCTTTTTGCTAAATAGTAAAACTAAAAGAAAAGCACATAGTTGAAGAATTCTATCTCTGAGATTTTCTTTGACATATATAGATTAATTGTGAGTTGTTTGTCTAAAGATTTGAGATAAGAAGTTTATAATAATTATCTGTTTTTAAATGGGACCTTCTTTAAAATAATAAAGCTGATAATTACAAAACTGCTGAAATGAATAAACTAGATCATACAGATATTAACATGAATAGTTCTCAAAATCATATTCAGGGAAAAAAGCAAGCTACAAAATTATATGCACACTATTATATCATTTATAAAAAAGAACAGTTTTATTCATGGATATTTTCATATACACACACAGTTATATTATAATAAAGATATAATAACTAATATTGGAAGAATACACACTTTACAATACTGATTACCAAGGGAAGAAACGAGGGAGAAAGGTGAATGAATCTGGGGAAAATTAAGTGATATGCAATGCTATCAATAATGTTTATTCTTATAGATAAAAACATCTGAAGCACATATAACAAATTTTCATATTGAATTATTTCAGATTATATGTACATTAATGTATATTATTCTTAATGTATATGTTTTTAAAATTTTCAAAATAAATAAAGATGCTGAAGAATTACAAATAAAATCCAGATAATTCAATAATATTAAAGTTTGTGTACATGAAATACCAAGATAGGACTGTTTAGAAATTATTCTGTTTACCTTTCTATATGTTTTAAGCATTTAAAAATGAGGAAAAAATTGAAAGCAGTGAGGAACTCAAAGAGAAATTACACATATGTTTAATAATATAAAAATAAAACTTTCAGAACTGCAAACACCATAATAGCCCTCTTTGTTATTTTCTGCATTTTATTTGTAAATTTGGTCAAAAGAAAAATAGAAGATGTTACCTAATTGGAAACGTGACTTTCTATTATTAAAATTGTGGGAGTCCATTTTAATGTGCTTATCTTGTTGCTAGTCTATAATTTATATTTCAGCGTGGAAATTTGTTTGTAAGCCTGTGACAGGTTAATGCAGTTTCAACATGCGTTTTTCTTCCGTTGGTTGAATAGTTAAATCGTTACTCAAAGGATTTTAAGTTTCAATTTCAACCATGAGAGGATTCCCTGCGTTTTCAAGGTTAAAAACGTTTCTGGTTCAAAACGCTATTAATTAACGTCTACGTAGTGGATTTAGGGCATTGCTGGCGACCCTGGATGAACAGTTGACGTGTTCAACGAGAAAACTTTTTGGATGAACACTCTGGGATATTTTGCATTGGGGCTCAGAGCGTGGATGGGAGGAGTGACTGCCGTTACAGACCACTTCGCGAACGATTGCAGTGATGAATCGAAAGGCAGTCAGGTATTAGCATTTTTTTTTCCTTTAAAAAAAAAAGTTGCTAGGACTGGGCTGGACACCCAGCTGGCGGGGGCCCAGCGCGGGGGGCGCGCCCGGCAGGCTGCCCAGAAGTTCCGACCGGGGAGTTCGCGCTTTAGGAGCATTACCTGGCTCGCCAGCGGACGCCTGACCAGGAGGACCAGATAATTTCGGAGCGGCGACCAATGGCTTAGCGGGGCGGCGCGCGGGGGTCCTGGCCGGGAGCTCC